ATTTTATCATTGTTTAGCTTTGTGGCATTGCTTGTCTCCTATGGACTCATACTTTCCACATTTCATTCTAGACACCTCTCTGACGGTTCCTCAAAGGCTTTGTCTACATGTACTTCACATCTCCTGGTTCTCATCCTGTACTTTGGACCTTGCATATTCATTTACCTGCGTCCACATACCCATTTCATGTTTGACAGTGTGATCTCTGTCTTCTATACAGCAGTTACCCCTTTTCTCAATCCTGCTATCTATGCACTGAAGAATAAGGAGATGAGGGCTGCAATGGGGAAGATGGTGGCAAGGCAGTCGAGACAGGTCTCTGCACAAGTTCACGTTCATCTGACAGGAAGACTTTCCTTGTGGAGACACAAAAAGAATTGGTGTCCACGCAGGCCAGTCTTGAACTCAGTGTCATTGTTACATATTGTTTAATCTATGGATTGTTGAATTAAAGGGTTGATTTGAAATAAATGGTCAAAATAACAAGAAACACTATAAATCCAAATTAGGGACATTAATCACTTTATCTATTTTCCCCTTACATTAATCAACTATAGAACAAAGTTCTCACTTTTTAGTTTAGTTTAATGAAGAGAAGGACTAGGGGTGACATGATAGCAGTATTCCAATATCTCAGGGGTGGCCACAAAGAAGAGAAAGTCAAGCTAGTCTCTGAAGCCCCTGAAGGCAGAACAAGAAGCAACAGATGGAAACTAATCAAGGAGAGAAGCAACCTAGAACTAAGGAGAAAGTTCCTGACAGTTAGAACATTAACCAGTGGAACAACCTGCCTCCAGAAACGGTGAATGTTCCAACACTGGAAGTTTTTAACAAAAGACTGGACAGTCATTTGTCTGAAATAGTATAGGGTGTCCTGCCTGAGCAGAGGGTTGGACTAGAAGACCTCCAAGGTCCCTTCCAACTCTATTATTATTATTATTATTATTATTATTATTATTAATTATCATGCTTATGAAAATGCCAAATAATGTTCTGCTTTGTTGGCAGAGATGGAGAAGTTTCCTTGAATTGGCCAAGCTCTCAAAAGAAGCCAGCTTTTGCTTTGAATTCTTGTGTCCTATAAATCAAACTTTCTTTTCGTACTCTATAAATCAAAAAGAAAAAAAAAGAGGAAGTAGCAGCAAAGAGTGCCCTCCCTAAGACCACTGAAACAAGGAGAGCAGAGATGGTGAACAAGATTCAGTCATTTCTGTTCTTCTACTGACCGTAACCTGGCCAGGTTTGGAAATATTGCAATAGTAAGCTGTAGTAGACCCTGGATAAACATGTCAGTTGGTTCTTGATTTACAATCATTCATTTAGCAAACGTTCAAAGTTATAACGGCACTGGGGAAAAAAGGTGCTTATAAATGGTCATCGCACTTACAACCGTCACAGCATCCCCATCGTCCCGTGATTGCAGGTGCTTGGCAATTGCATGATTCGCTTAACAACTGCAGTGATTTGTGGCAAAAGGTCTTAAAATCAGGCACAACTCACTTAACAACCCCCTTGCTTAGCAGTGGGAATTCTGTCCCCCATTGTGGCCATAAGCTGAGGACTGCCTGTATTGAAATTTTTCTCATGCAAATGTCTCTGGAGGTTCTCAGTCATCCAGATCATGGTTGTCCCAAAGGTGCTTTTTCAGGAGGCAACTAGACTTCCTTGTTTTTTCTTTGAAGATATTTTGCTTCTCATCCAAGAAACTTCTTCAGCTCTGACTAGATGGTGGGGAATGGAAGGATTTATATTCTTTGCAAACAGCTGGTCAATTGCATTCTTTTAGAGAGTTGTTGAGGCCATTTAGAGGTTTACCTGTGTTTCAGGGTCAAATGTGCAAATGGTGCAAATGTGTGTGATGTGTTGGAGGCTTCTTGGCTGCAGGATGTTTTCTGCCCTGGGTCCCTTCACTGTTGAGGACAGGCGGAGGCTGTTGGGGATGAGTCTGTGTTGTCTGCATCTCAGACTGAAGCGCAAATGATTCCTGTAGTCCAGTGGTTCTCAACCTGTGGGTCGGGACCCCATTTGGGGTCGAACGACCATTTCATGGGGGTCGCCAAACAACGCAGCCTGCCATTTTTTTTCCCCTTTTCCTTAGCTGTGCTACTCCCTTTTATTCTGTTGGCTTTTGAAAGCCAATAGAATAGACTCTCTTGAATAGAGTCTAATTCTATTGGCTTTCAAAAGCCAATAGGAATTATCCAGGCTGTCTCTGCCCTGCTGAGCCCACCAAAAGTCCCATTCTGCAAACGGTGCTGCACCAGTTGAATAGTCCTCAACTTACAACCGGTTGGGGGTCGCGGCATTAAAAAGGTTGAGAACCACTGCTGTAGTCTCCAATGTTTTCTGGAAATCCAGTCATACTCCCAGACCATTTGAAGGGTGTTCATCCCAAAGTGCATAGCTAAATGTCTATGGAGATTCTCAATCATCCAGGTCATGGAAGCTTCTTGGATGAGAAGCGAAACACCTTCAAAGAAAAAACAAGAAAGTCCAATTGCCTCCTGAAACAGCACCTTTGGGATCCTGATGCAAATGTGCCCTACCTCTCAGTTCTTCCAATCGCTGTTAGGGCTGAGATTAATCATGGGTTGGTCTTACTTTCAGGACTATTAGAGAGTACAGAATCTCTTCTATTTGACATCAAGCACCATCAGAACTTTAGCTTATAATCTTTTCTAGTTATCTTGAGACTAAATTGGCTTTCAAAGACTCAACCCACATATTCATTGTGGTCAGAGCCAATAGATCCCTAGACATAGAGATCTACAAACATCCTCCTCTCCCCCCCCCCCCATTACTCACTCTCCTGCACCCTAGAAGAACAGAAGTTTTCTCCTGGCCAACCTATTAAAAATGCAGATTGTGCTGAAGGATTTGCAAACGCAGAAATTTCAAAAACTGCCCCACATCAACTCTGGTGAAAGTCATCAAAGCCTTGTAGGAGGCTGTGGTGTGTGGTGGTGAATGAATCCTTGACAGAGAAGATGGTGGTGCTGACCTTGATTGAGGAAGTAGCCTCTGCCCAAGCAATCATCATTAACTTGGTTAATTTGGAGAACTACTGATATGTCTCAAACCTGCCTTTGACAACAGAAGTTATTGAAGAGGTGTAATTGCAGAGAATTGTGGAAAAAACAATTGGGACCCTTTTCAGCCATGATTCAGACTGACCCATAGTAGTAAATGACACTGATTACTCTTTGGGATGATGCGCAGTAAAACCAGAATGGGGAAGGATGAGTTTCCTAGTCCTCTTTGATTTCTGACCTGCAATTGTTATCCTCATTCACAATATCCTTCTGAAGCATCTCTGAAGGTGTTGAGTGGGCGGTACAGTCAACCACCTCCTTCCTCCAGGGCCAGTTGTATTTTGGTGATCGAAGGAGAAATGAGGTTCAGGTGGAAGGCCCTCCATTGTACACCTCCACAGGGACTAAATATCTTCCATTATTTAACATAGTAATAATAATAATAATAATAATAATAATAATAGTAGTAGTAGTAGTAGTAGTAGTAGTAGTAGTAGTAGTAGTAGTAGTAGTAAAGTTGGAAGGGACCTTGGAGGTCATCTAGTCCAACCCCCTGCTCAGGCAGGAAACCCTACACCATTTCGGACAAATGGCTGTCCAGTCTCTTCTTAAAAACTTCCAGTGTTGGAGCATCTGGAGGCAGGTTGTTCCACTGGTTAATTGTTCTGTCAGGAAGTTTCTCCTTAGTTCTAGGTTGCTTCTCTCCTTGATTAGTTTCCATCCGTTGCTTCTTGTCCTGCCTTCAGGTGCTCTGGAAATTAGCTTGATTCCCTCTTCTTTATGGCAGCCCCTGAGATACTGGAACACTGCTATCATGTCCCCCCTCGTCCTTCTCTTCATTAAACTAGACATACCCAATTCTAGCAGCCTTTCCTTATATGTTTTAGCCTCCAGTCCCCTATGTATGTGAAGCTTTTAGAAGTGGACACCCATCAACATGGTGTCAGATATCACCAGCACGTTGGTGATATTTGTGTATTTCAGCTCTGATCTGAAAAGAAAACATGGTCAAAATGCTGTTCCAGCATCTGCAGGCTGCAGAGTGTAAATATGGAGGAACATACATAGACTCAATCCATGCAAGATAGAATGTTATGGGCACAAAGGCCAACACATCTGGGCTTTGTTGGTTCTGGGTAGAATTGTAACCAGAATGGGGAAGGATGAGCTTCCTAGTCCTTTTTGATTTGGTTTGATAAATCAAAATTTGGGGATTCTTCTGGTCTCTCGGTTCTTGCTCAGTGACCAGATGGACACTGTCTTAACAGCGGTAGGAAGCTAAGAAAAGAAAAGTGAGTGATTTAGATGCTATTTGTTGAAGTAGATGTGGCTGGAGAGGACCAATGGTTGAAGGGTGAACCTTATTTTTCCCTGAAGGGAATGGGCCCTTGGGAACATGGCAGGACGAGGAGCATGGGTTTAGTTTTTTTGCAGCCCACAGCTCCCTTTGTTCATTTTTCCCCTAACAAGTGGCAAGCAGTTCCACTAGTCAGCAAAGGAAGAGGTCAAAGAAGAAGGAAGTTTGCTGAGATCCTAGGGGGAGGGATAACCTATATCTATCTGAAAAGAAAGATGACCCGATGGGTTATGGGTTGATTAATTAAATGGGTTCTTGTTTTAACATTATCTTGACAGAACAAAGAAATATTTGCTTGCTAAGATTTTTGGCATCTAAGGTTCAAAATGAGAATTCTACTCTGGCCTTGAGTTTCATGGCCCACTGGACATGACTCAACCCATCAATCAAAACTATATTCCATTGGGGAAACTCTCCTGCAAATTTAGCCATTCTCCTGTCTTCTTCCAGTTATTTTCCTGGGTCTGCTGCTAGGACTTGTAATTTTGACTCACTAACTTTTTAACAAGCCTCCTGAGTGTTGGGTGAATTTGTTCCCTGGGAAACTGAACATATATCTTTATCTTAAGGGATCGGAGGTCACTTAGCATGACATGGAACCACCAAGTACCATCAAAGACTGTGATATAAGTCTTCTTTTTAAAAAAAACAAAACCCACTTTTTGTTCTCTCTCCTTTCCTTTCTTATTCTTCCATCTCAGTGAACATCTGGAGTCTTGTTGGAAGCCACAAATCTTAGGTGAGACGCTTAGGAAAATAATATCTTTCCTGGTGAGCTTGATTTGACAGCTCCATCTTCACTCAAATCTCATCTTTTTTTTCCCCTTAAAGATGGTTGAGATAAATTATGAAAACCTCCAAAAAGCATTACAAGCTGTCTTGCTATCTTAGAGAGAAGATAGAGAGATAGAGAGAAAAGCTCCAGCATGAGTTACAATTCTACTCAGAACATTCGGTCCGGGTGACTAACCCAGACTGGAAATTCATATATTGTTTAACATTTGTCACCTCTCAAATTAATGTGAATCCACCACTTGCCTATACCTTTTTGTGATATTATAAGCACCCACATGTTACTTGGCTAGTGGCTTTGGATGTTTTTATCTAACCATTATATTGATTGTTAACTATTATGACTTCTGCCATTTTAGGTAACTCATCTAAATTGACAGGTTCTGATGATCAGTCTTGGCCGTCACTAATCTTTAATTGGGTGCCTGGTGTCTTGACAGAAGAAAAGAAGCCAGAAGTTATTTAAATAATATTTTTCTCAGGAAGCTGTTGCTTTGCAGGTAACTATTTATCAATGGAATTTCTTGCACAGGGTAACCCTCGCTGTTGCATCCCATCCCAAAGGTGCTTTTTCGCAAGGCAGCTGGACTTTCTTGTTTCATTGCTGTTTCGTAGTTGTAGAGTACCTTCTCTGCCTGTGAATGACCATCCTGGCTTCCAGAGGTGATGGGTTCTGCTCCCATCAACCTCCACCAGCAGAGCTTCAGGGTGGGGAGATCTATTTTTGAATACATTGAGAGGGTGCGCTTTGTAATATCTGCTGTAAAAAATGTCACTTGCTTTAGAGCAATGGTTCTCAACCTGTGGATCGGGACCCCATTTGGGGTCGAACGACCATTTCACGGGGGTCGCCAAACAAGGCTGTCCGCCATTTTCCCCCCTTTTCTTTGGCCACGCCCCTGGCACCTGGTGATGTATAAGTGGTTGGGGATCACCACAACATGGGGAACTGTATTATGGGGTCGCAGCATTAGAAAGGTTGAGAACCACTGCTTTAGAGAAAATTAAGCAAGAGATAAGAGAAAACTTTGAAAAGAGGGTTTGCTTATCTATAAGTCCTAGATGTGGAAACCTGCAAAACAAAATCCAGCTTAAAAGTCTGGTAATGAAAAAGAGATGATCCATAGCTCTAGGATCTCCAGGTCACTGTGGAACAGATCCCAGTTTTAGCTCCTATTGTTGCATGAATGAGATGGCAGGAAACCCTTTTAAGAAAACAGGAACGCTTGTGGTTGATTGGATCAATATGTGTTTTAAAGGGTCAGATTATTTTTGTCGTCATCATCATGAATTATTTTAATCCTGAATCTTGAAAATCTAAAAATATAAGCCTGGTTACTTATAGAGGGGCAGGAGAAAAGGAACAGGTTGGAAATTACTGGCTAAAACCATGCTGGGAAAAGATGTCTAGACATCCTTATTTCCAAAATTCTTGGAACTCCTGGTGATACATTGATTATATTAGAATTCTTTCTAAGATCAAAGAATTTAAAAATGATGGAGACACTTTTTGATGGGAACATCCAATATTTCCCATGTCAACCAACATGCAAGTGAGATTGAGAAAGTGGTAGATTTAAGTTACCCATTACTAATCAATCAGCATTGCAGTTGAGCAAGGATTTGAAGTAGATGTCAAGTAGATTGTAAAAGTACATTGTCCCTCTATGAAACTACTTTCTGAGAGACTTCTAGTCTATGAAGGGGATAACCTTCAAGTGTCTTCTCATGACTGTCCCAATCCAACAGCCCCAAGGGGGACAAGACTTGCACTAGCATGAATAAGCTAAGGGTCTCCCTTGAATTGATGGAAAACAATAAAATGAGGGGTGATATACTCAGTAGGAACAAGTAGCCAGGAAAAAAAAATAACAGCCTTCCCTGCTTAGCGTTCACTGTTTTGATCCTCATTTTGCAAGCCACTGGTTGAATCTTATTGGGTGAAAGTGGACTAGATAAAGAAATGATTAGATAAAGGGGAAATTTCTCTCTGTTGAGTTGAGTTGAGCTTTCGGTACCTTTATGAATATATCTTCAGCTTGCTTAGTAGCAATGAAGAAGTGGCTTGCAAATGCCTTTTCCTAGAAGGTTTTCCCAACTTTCTGGTCCAGTCTACAATCCTGTGGCCCTGGTGATCAATTCTCCAGGTATTAACTGGGTTCAATCCTGCTTGCTTTTTGAGATCAGCCAAGATTGACTAGGTGCCACCTAACTAGCTGGGTGACTAGAAGGGCTGCTAGGAGAAAAGGAAGATGTGGTGATAGATAGCATGGGTCCCTCAAGGCTTTTGATTCAGCATTGTCAAGGATGCCTTTTCAGGAGATGCTCCAGTTTGCAGGCCCAACAGCAAAACAACCTTGACAGCTTACCTGAAATTTGCAACTGGAAGCAAACTTTGAGATGGACATTTGTTAGGCTATTGCAATGGTTCTCAACCTGTGGGTCGGGACCCCATTTGGGGTCGAATGACCATTTCACGGGGGTCGCCAAAGAACACAGTCCGCCATTTTTCCCCCCTTTTCCCTAGCTGTGCTACTCCCTTTTATTCTATTGGCTTCTGAAAGCCAATAGAATAGACTCTCTTGAATAGAGTCTAATTCTATTGGCTTTCAAAAGCCAATAGGAATTGTCCAGGCTGTCTCTGCCCTGCTGAGCCCGCCAAAAGTCCCATTCTGCAAACGGTGCTGCAAGTTGTCTGAAGAGAAAGCGAGCTGTCTGGAAGTTTCCACCCCTCCCTGCTGAGCAACTACTAAAAATGTAAGTAAAAGAGGGCCAGGGATGGGAGGTGGGAGGCCGGCGGGCGCAGGGAGGGTTGCTGGCACGCGTGGGGCCCGGCGGGTGCCTTACCTCCCTTGGGCTGGGCCAGCTGGTGGCCCAGCTGGTGGTCGGCCTGCACCATCTCTGCCGCTTGCCAGCTACGCCTCAGCTGGCGCAGTGGGCGGCACCACACATGCGCGGCACTCCCGGGCAGGGAAAGTCCTCGACTTACAACCGGTTGGGTAGTCCTCGACTTATGACCGGTTGGGGGTCACGGCATTAAAAAGGTTGAGAACCACTGGGCTATTGGATTTAGTAGCTGGAACAGTAAAGTGTACAATAGGCCAGAACACACAATTCTACTTAATTAGTTAGAAAGTGCTGACTCGTTTATGAATCAATCTATGCTATGATGGTTTGTCGTAAGTATAAAGGGTACACTTCCCTTCCCCCCCCCTACTTTTTTAAATTCTATATGTTCCATATACTGTTTTAGATTTACCTCTTGATACTCCTGTGTTCCTGACTATCTTATGTTCTTCCTTTTCTGGATGATGATAAAGACTGCTGTAAATTAAAATGTTAAATATATTTATACTAATGTAAAAGACTACAAGTTTCTGTCAGTGTCTCTGACTTCATCAGGGCAGTTGCTGTGCAATTCCTTGACAACATTGGAGGAAGTGGAAGAGAAAACATGGGATTTATTTGGGGGCAGAGGGTATGCAATGATGTTCTGGTAAATGTTTAAGAATTAGCTCTGCCATTTCCATTGCTGCTACCCCACACAGGTGATCAACACACTAGGCCCATTGTTACTCAGTTATGCTCTCAACTGGCTTGCAAAATTCCAGAAAAATTTAACAGTTGGTTCTAGCGAACTAGCACAAAATGGCTCCAGCACACTACTGGCTATGTCTCTTTCTGATTCTCTATGTCTTCCCCCTATGATCAGATTGACAAATTGATATTACTATGGTAAGAATGCACCTCCCCCCAATCCTTTTTACTATGCTCCTCCCCCCAAATCACAAGGAATAAAACTCAGGAAAAAAAATACAGAAACAATGTTTCACTCATGAAGCCACTGGCTATTGTGAAAATTAGAAACGTTGAAACAAGCCTGTAGATTTCCAAAGAGAGCTTGCTAAAGATAATAAACAGACTAAAGATAAGTGGATAAAATTAATTACATTTGATTGACAGGATTAAAATCCAAGAAAGTCAGTATTTGAGATCTATTGCTAGCTTTTGCAAAACAAACTAAACAAATCTAATAACAAAAGCACACAAAGCAAGCCTCCGAATTATGAAATGCTGTAAAACTGTATAAAAATCCTTGCACTCATCAAATCAATTTGTCAGCTGTCCCAGAACTGCATGCTGTTGCTGGTTCTGCTCATCAATAAACAGGCCTTCTTTCTTAAGCAGCCTCCATTTTATTCCCAGCTTGGAACTGAACCTGATTTTTCTTCCAACATTATAATAGAACAAAGAAAAGAAATCTGCAATCATCCTCTTTCTTTTCCTTTCTGTACATCACCTATAGAAACTGGCCCTTACAAGATGCTCCAAAGAAATCAATCCACAGTGGAAGAGTTTGTCTTGCTGGGCCTCTCCCAGACCAGAGAAATCCAACTGGCCCTCTTTCTCCTCTTTCTCCTATTTTATTCTCTGATACTGCCGGGAAACCTTCTCATCATCCTGACCATCCGGAAAGAACCTCAGCTGAATTCGCCCATGTACTTCTTCTTAGCCAACCTGGCTTTTCTGGACCTCTGCTATTGCTCCATCACTCCTCCCAAGATGCTGGTTGACTTCTTCTCCAGCCATAAGACCATCTCCTATAAGGGCTGCATACTCCAGATCTTCTTTCTTCATTGGTTAGGAGGCTCTGAGGTTATTCTTCTGGTTGACATGGCCATTGATCGCTATGTGGCCATTTGCCACCCTTTGCGCTATGCCAGCCTCATCAGCAAAGCAGTCTGCTACATTTTGGTCCTCATATCCTGGTGTGTAGGATTCATGCATTCTATCATCCAAGTAATTCTTATTCTCCCACTGCCATTCTGTGGACCGAATGAATTAAATAATTTCTTCTGTGATATCACTCAGATCATCAAGTTGGCTTGCACTGACGTATATGCACTGGAATACATCATGTTCTTCAACAGTGGTTTGGCCACCTTGATGTGTTTCATCCTTCTCCTCATTTCCTATGGAGTCCTTTTGGTCAAGGTGAGAGCAAATTCCGACAAAGGAAAGAGTAAAGCCTTCTCTACATGCATCACGCACATCATCATCATCTTCATCATGTTTGGTCCAGCTATCTACATCTATTGCCATCCCTTTCAGGAATTCTTCTTTGATAAGGTGGTGGCTGTTTTCCATACAGTGGTCTTCCCCTTGATGAACCCAATGATCTACACTTTGAGGAACAAGGAGATCAAGCAAGCCATGTTGAAGTTGTTGGGCAAAATTAAAGTTCAAAGCAGATGATGAAGATAATTCATTCTCAAAGTCATTTGAAAACTTGCACCCTGCCCATGATGCTACACATTACCTGCTGAAAGTTTGTAAGCAAGTAGCAGAAAAGCCATTCAGTTTGCTATAACTATCTGAAGATTGAAGTGAACCAAAGTCCACATTTAACTCAGGAACATCAGTCATAAACAATTCAAAGCACTAAAGAAAAAGAAAAAGGCAGATAGGAGAAGGGTGGGAGCCTTTGAATTGTGGTGCTCAAGATGCATATTATCCATCCCGTGGACTGCAAAAATCAAAAACAAAGAAGTCCGAGATTAAGCCTCACCAAAAATATCACCCAAAGCCAAGACCGTAACCAAAGGCTATCATACTTTGGCCATATGATGCTAGCTGACTCACTTGAAAACTCAATCATGCTGGGAGTGATCAGCAGAAAGAGGAGAAGGGTCCACCATGTGTCATCCAAGTGTGGTGGACCTCCATATAACAAATTCAGAGCCAGCATAGGAAGGGTTTAGGGTAGCTGTAGCTCAAAGCATTGGGAGGGCAGCCATCTGCAGACTTGCCTCCAATCCCTTTGGAACTTGATTTTTCAGGCAAATGAACTTCAAAGGAGTCAGAGGCATACACATATACAAATTCTGAAAACTTTATCAATTAGTAGCACTTTAGTACACTTCATTAGTACCACTTTATAATGCCTTGGTAAGACCACACCTGGAATATTGCAGCCAGTTTTGGTTGCCACGATGTAAAAAAGATATTGAGACTCTCGAAAATGTGCAGAGAAGAGCAACAACGATGATTAGGGGACTTGATGGTAAAACATGTGAAGAACCGTTGCAGGAATTGGGCATATCTAGTTTAATAAAAAGAAGGACATAATAATAGTGTTCCAATATCTAAGGGGTTGCCATAAAGAAGAGGGGACAACCTATTCTCCAAAGTACCTGAAGGCAGGACGAGGAGCAATGGATGGAAACGAATCAAGGAGAGAAGCAACCTAGAACTAAGGAGAAAGTTCCTGACAGTTAGAACAATTAACCAGTGGAACAACCTGTCACCAGAAGTTGTGACTGCTCCAACACTGGAAGTTTTTAAGAAGAATTTGGACAACAATTTGTCTGCAATGATATAGGGTTTTCTGCTTGAGCCAGGGGTTGGACTAGAAGACCTCCAAGGTCCCTTCCAAGTCTGTTACTCTGTTAATTATTTTTACCACTGGAAAAAATGTTATGATTTCCAATCAAACGTGTGAAAGTACTGCAGAGATTTTTAGAAAGCACATTCATGATCACCACAAATTGGTGTTGACTCTTGCAATAGCTTTCAAGCAAGATGAAAAAGATAGATAGATCTATGATAAGATGGGAGAGTCGCTTTTGTGGTATAACCACAGCAATCATTTCTTTCTTCTAATTATAGAGGTGCTTTAAGAGACACTAGAGGGCAGCAAAATGCTGATGAGGAAAAAAAAAATGAAGATTGTAAATAAGAGTCTCAGACTGACACCTCTGCAGGGTTTTAGGTAGGATTAGAAAAATGCCTCAGTATCCATGTTCGTAGTGAACCAATGGGTGAGCAGTGCAAAATCACTCAGCTGTTTGCTTGTTTGGGCCTTTGTGTATTGTCTGATTTCAGCCAATGTAGCTTCTATGGCCAGCTTTTATCAAATAGGAGCCCAACTAATTGTGGGTTCCTCAAAAACATGGGAATGGTAGTAGTAATTAGTACAGAGAACTAGCTTCTGAGCTTATTTCTTCCAGTGCCCATCCCATACTTAAATGTAAGAAGTTGACACTAAGTGTTAACATGGTTGCTGGCCTAGAAACCAGGAGACTGAGTTTTAGTCCTGCCTTACACATGAAAGCTAGCTGGGTGACTTTGGGACAATCGCTGGGAGACTGAGAGTTCTAGTCCTGCTTTAGGCATGAAAGCTAGCTGGGTGACTTTGGTCCACTTTCCAGCCCAACCGACCTCACAGGGTTGTTGTTGTGGGGGGAAAGGAGGAGGAAGGAATATTGTGCATGTTCATTGCCTTGGGTAATTTATAAAAAATAATAAAGGCATGATTTTAAAAATCTAATCTAATTTAAATCTAAAGTGTCTAGTAGAAGCCACAAGGTCACATGTATCATCATGCAAATGACACAGATTATGGAATGTTTATTGGCCAATTACATTATTTACATTATTTCCCCAATGATTCCAATATCTCTCATGACATGTCATCTTCCTCCCACGAATGCACCCTGCAGGCACCCATGTAAATGTAAAGTAGCTCCACCAAGTAGCACAGCCCTGGGCCTCTCGTTGCAGGGTGCCTTCCTTCCTGTATACAGAAGAGCTGGAGAAGGGTGCTATTAGTCCTGCAAGGTACAAGTAGTCCTTGGCCATTCACTTAGTGATCATTCCAAATTATAACAGCACTGAAAAAAGTGATTTATGACCACCTGTCAACATGCAGCTCCAGAATCCAGATAAAACTCCAGGTTCATTCCATTTCTGAAAATCTTACTGTCTATTGAATACACGGCATGGAAATGATAAAGCAAAACTAACTCTGAGGTTTCCAGACACCATTTCATACCATTAAACAATTTTTTCCAGTCAAACCCCTAACATTCTCACGTAGACCATGTAGTAATAGGTAGTAATAGTAGTAAAGTTGGAAGGGACCTTGGAGGTCATCTAGTCCAACCCCCTGCTCGGGCAGGAAACCCTACACCATTTCGGACACATGGCTGTCCAGTCTCTTCTTAAAAACTTCCAGTGTTGGAGCATTACTGCTTCTGGAGGCAAGCTGTTCCACTGATTAATTGTTCTCACTGTCAGGAAGTTTCTCCTTAGTTCTAGGTTGCTTCTCTCCTTGATTAGTTTCCACCCGTTGCTTCTTGTCCTGCCTTCAGGTGCTTTGGAAAATAGCTTAATTCCCTCTTCTTTATGGCAGCCCCTGAGATATTGCTTCCTTTCCACACCTGCTGCAGTGTCCTTGGAAAGGTTTCAGGTCTCCCGGTCTTCAGCAGAATTGTAGAGGTTTTGTTTCTCCATCTAACCAATTCTAAAGCAGCACTCCCCCCCCCCTTATTCTAATGGCAAGTTGAAATGAAGAGGCACGTAGCTACTGAAATTTCATTCTTGACACCATCTTTCACACTTATAGCCATTGCAGCATCATTATAGTCACATTATAAAAATTTGGACACACAGCAACTGGCTCATATTTATGATGGTTGTAGTATCCCAGGTAATGTGATCACCTTTTAGGACCTTCTGACAAGCAAAGTCAGTGGGGAAGTTAGATTCACTTAACAACTGGGTTACTGACTTAATAAGCTCTGTGATTTATTTAACAACTGCAGCATGAAAGATAATAAAATGGGGCAAAACTCTCTTGCCTAGCAACAGAAATTTTGGACTCAATTGAGGTAGGAAAATAAGACTATCTGTATTCCAGAGAAGAAATTTATGACAATTGTTCATTGGGGAACTCTGGGAGTTGAAGTCCACGCATCTTAAAGCTGCCAAGGTTGAGAAACACTGTTCTATGATACAGAGCATTTGGAACCACAGTAACACCAAAAGGATGAACTGTGCATTGGTACATTGCAAAGCCAGCTCCATTCCTTCATGCTGGTGTCACAACGTTGCGCACAATGGGCATTTCATCATAAATTAAGGCGTTTCGTCACCTGTCCTGCTTTTTTTCCCCCACTTCCCCTGAATTTTGGCATTTGTTTTCGCCATTCATTGACCTCTTGGAAGGTGTGACTGTGTGGGTGTGCATGTGCTTTGCAAGTTTAAAGATAAACAAATTCCTTAATCTCTGAGGCATGGAGAGGAATGTAGTACCAGAAGCAGTTGAGAAAGAGTAGTTAGCTCAAAGGGAAATGAAATGTAGGCAATGTGGCCAAACTTTAGTTACTTAATTGATCATAGTGTTGCATGTGAAAACAGTGGGTGTTAGTTTGGCACGTTTTCTTGGTTTGATTTTATGAAGACATGCAGCACATGTAATGGTGTGTGAGAATGACCTTGGCATACAGGAGGGAGAACTGCAAACTGGACAATCAGAGTTTCTGATTGTCAAATCAAAAGATATCTCCACCCAGAGATTGTCAACATCCAGCTCAAGAATCCAAATAAAACTCTAGGTTCATTCCATCTCTGAAAATCTTAGCATTTATTGAATACACTGCATGGTTTTGTCGAAGCAAAACTAACTCTGAGGTTCAAACACCAATTCATAGACTTAAACAATATTTTTTTCAGCCAAACCCCTAATGTCTTACGTAGTCCATATCAACAAGTTCACTTTGTTATGGGAACCTTCTACTTCAAATCCACACCTGTTTTGGTGTCCTTAAAAAGGCTTCAGGCTTTCATGGTCTTTAGTTGAAGTTTCATTTCTCTATCTAACGCACTTGAAAGTAACACCTCCCCCCTTTCTCTAAAGGCAAGTTGAAACTCAGAAGCACATAGCTGCATGGGAGGGTATGGGAAATGTTTCAGAACGACCCTCCAACTTTTCCAGAGAATAAAAGCAATGGAGGAGAAAAATACTTACATGATTCTGTTAATATAACCTTAGATCTCTGAGAAACACTGTCCTAGACAGTAGTGGGAATATTCATAATCTCATAAGTGGAATTTATTTATTTATTTATTTACAAATATTTATATGCCGCCCAATCCCAAAGGACTCAGGGTGGCGTACAAAGTTAAAAACAGTCATAAAACAATAAAATAAAATAATCCAGTCATACCGCGAGTCCGATCATATCCCGGCCCCCCGAGGACATCAGCCCCAGGCCTGCCGGAACAGGAGAGTTTTAACGGCTTTCTTAAAGGCCGGCAGGGTGGGAATAGTTCGAACCTCGGGGGGAAGTTGATTCCACCAGGTCGGAGCCACCACAGAAAAGGCCCTTCCCCGAGGGCCCGCCAGCCGACATTGTCTGGCCGACGGGACCTGAAGGAGGCCCAATCTATGGGACCTCACCGGTCTCTGGGAGCTGTGCGGCAGAATGCGGTCCTGTAAGTAACCTGGCCCTATGCCATGAAGGGCTTTGAAGGTGATAACCAACACCTTGAATTGCGTCCGGA